GATTAAAATTTTATTTTGGAAACTTTTTTTTGTAGACAAGATTGTTATAACGTGCTCCACCCTTTATAAAACTTATAAAAATGCTCATGACCTATGATTATTTAATTTGGAAACTATTTTTGGAAAGAGGAAATTAGATACTACGTTTTATTTTAATTAATAGGCTAAACAGGAATTGAAATGGATATGGTTTAAACGATAAGCAGGTAATTTAATTCCAATACACATTATAGAAGTAAATATTTATGAAATAACCATTCATTCTAAAGGGTTCTTCCCTAGAACTGCGCACCTCGGGCTCAAATTAAACGCTTGCCTAAGACCCCTTATAAAATTACATTAACTTTATAATACCGTAAAGCGCGGTAACCAGCACTCGATTAAAAGGGCCCATACAAAGATAATTATGGCCCAGGTTATAACGCTCAGCGGTATCTCATTAGTATGATATCGGTGTCTTGTGCAAATGTTTCGTATCGCTTTCATAAAATTATAAGTGGTTAATGAATAAGCAAGTTGTTATCTGTGCTGCCCACACAGCTCTGTACTTATACAATATAAGGGTTTATTTTGTCTGTGTCGTTTTTTGTATGGTGAATCTAGACGCAATAACCATTTGCCGGAAAAAAATGCAGTTCTAACTTGCATTTAAACGGCAATTCGCAGAATACTTATACATATACCTATTAGCTGAAGATAACTTATGTACTGGAACGATTATATCTTCGTCCTCATAGTCACTTCACTCTTCCAATGCCTAGCACATTAGTCTTTTATGAAAAATACACCTATGTAGTTAGATACTCTGTTTTAATAACCAATAAGTTCAGAGATTGAGTAAAATCAAGTCTGGAGAGTAATGAGACTGGTGTCGTATCGCCGATACGCCTGAGGTTAAGCCGCTTACACAACGTTGCAAGCCTTGTAGTACACAGGTAGGTATATATCGAGGAGCGTGAGGAGATCACGTTATGACGAGATTATCATTATTATCACTTCATCTTCGCAAACAATAAGTGTATTATAGTTTACTTCTACAGTAACTTTAGTATTAGATCTCTATGTATTTTTGAAATTGAATTTTGTTCCGAAAAAATAAATTAAGCAAGTGATTACCTGAGTAGAATTCGAAACCACGGTCTCGTTTTAATTGGTAATATCATAATGTTATGTTGCCAGCGAAGGGTAACTGGCCGGTAACGCGAAGAGCCATAATTGTTTAGGTAAGCAATGTTTTGTCTACGAGTTTTTATGTCTTCAGATAATGTTTTAGATATCCTGTTATCAATCAAATGTCGTTAAAAATATGTAGTTACGCGCGACGATTATAAGCCAATAAATCAAAAGTCACAAGAGTCTTCAGTTCAAATTCGAGTTTTGGATATCTGGCACAAATTAAAACTTCCAACATTCAGTGTTTTCACTTCCACTTTTTCTATTTACTTTTCTATTAAACTTTGTTTTCTGTAGATACGGGATGAGGCAGCTTCGAGATTTATCTACGCGATACCGTTCTATTTGGCCGAGGGAAAATTCAATTTGGTTTTTACCTGAGGGTGCTTCGTGCGAACCCTCGCATCCTCTCTTTAATGTTGTTGGATTCTTCGTAAGAAAATATAACCGATGATATTTTTACTGCATATTGTACATTTCATATCTAGTGTGATTGGGATGCCGCGCCACGTAAAATGTTCACCAAAATATTTTATGCAAATATTTATGATATGAAATTTTGATCGAATGCTTTAAATGATATAAATGGCGAGAATGAAATATATTTACAAATATAAATATTTATTTGGATAAGTAGGTACGAACAATTTTCTAAACGCTGTGCGACTTTCTACTGATGATCGAAGTATGATTTTACTCATATTTTCATTTATCTATAATTCTGCTTTCGTATTTATCAAACAATGTGCTTGAATAAACCAGCATTAGATAGTTCGGTCAAACTGGACATAATAAATAGTGGTCAAATAACAGAAAGTCTGGGAGAGCTAAATTTTGGTAGAAACCTTGGGTACGTAACAGAAATAAAATATCAAAAGTTTCCGATATATTACTTACACGTGATTAATATTAATACAATAGGCAATGTTTCAGTGAATATTTTCATTGCTGTTTATTCTCAATATAATTTATACTTTTGCTGAAATAGTTCGTAGTATTTTGTCGATGTTTACTATAGATATTACGCGTCTATTTATGTATTTCGGATCACGTTAGCCTTCTAGACTAGTGGCGGTCGATCAGAATCTTGGAAAAAAAAGTATTCGACATTCTTAAAATATTAATCCATGTTAGCATTTACCATCTCTAATACCAAAGGCAATACTTAGGTACCTACTTATATCTAAGATCGTAAATTGGTATTTGATTTTATTCAAAGAAAAAACAGTCATGATCATAATTATTGTCTACCTTCGCATGTTCAGGTGCCTATTTACTTAACGAGTTTTGAGAACTCAGTAATGATAATTACTTGAGAACAATTTGCTGTATAACAAAGAGTAACCCTCTGCCACCTCAGCGTAACTGTAAAAAATACACATTTTTCTTTTGAAACGTCTTCCCTGTAAAGGTCTGTTATAAATTCATCTTCTGAATTCGCGAGGTAGGTAGCCACCCACCATAACTTCGGCTCTGTATTTTAAGACGTTTTTAGAAAACATTTCTGAATGTCGACAATGGATGAAGAAAAACAGTTGACAAAAGCGATTTTGCTGTTTTCATTTACTTTCCATTATTCTTTAACTCGTTTGTCATTCTTTTCTCTCCGCCCGAGGCGTGTAAAGAAGAAGAATGAAGGTTGTTTATATTTACGCAGCTAAGTGACTGGGTAGCAAGAAATAAGTAACATTTGCAGCAAAGATTTCCCGCTTGCTGTTTGTAATACGTACGTAGGGTGAAGTTTATGCGCGAACCATTAGCGCTGTCAAAGCAGTGCTTTACTTTAAAAATGGTATGTGTTCCACCCATTTACAATAAGCTAAACGAACTACCTATTAACTTTGCAAGAAAAATCGGTAAATGTTTGGTTTTTTTGTTGTTTTACGCTGTCATATTATTATGTTGTTTGTTTCTCCTATCACAGGGCTGCAGGAAGAAATTCTTTAGGTAAGGGATATGCAGTGCCTATGTACCTTTGTTTGGTAATACTTTTTCCTGTTTTGTACATAAACAAGTAAATAAATAAATAAAATGTCTGTTTACTTACTGAAAATTCGTTATTATGAAGTTATTACTAAGTGCCTACCTTCGAACTTAGTTAAATATTCACAAAGATACATACGAATGGTTCTGTAATAGATATAAATGAGTTTGTGCGTCTCTAGAGCGCCATGGTTCACTATCATTTCTCTGGGTTGGAATTAATCACTTAGTCAGACAAGCTCTCGTCTCTGAGATATCGTTAATTTAACACTTAAAACGTTTTTATTCGAGTGGATAATTGCAAAGGGGCGGTCGTAATGGGCCACGTTCGGGCTCGGCAAAGATTGATGGCGTGCTGTTGGAACATTAAAATAGCCGTCTACATTTGAATAAGAAATACTTGATCGCCCGCGGGATTACGCGATCAAACGATCGTTTGTATTTTTTCGGCTCGCGATTGTGAATGTAGGAAATTCGCGAGTGGGTTTACGATGTTTAAATGTTTTTCGTATATGTAAATGGTACTTTGTTTTGATATTCTGTTGGTAGATAGGTAGTGAAATACCTATTTTGTTGCTAAGAGCAGCAGTTAGTAGCAGGCTGGATCCAACATAGCAATAAAATTTGTTTTGGTCTAAAAATTGATCTGTCTTCACGGGTAAGTAATATTAAAGTACTCTTATTTATAGGTCACTTGTATCACAAACAAAAATCAAATCAAATCTCCTTCCCCATGCTACATCGAGTAGTGGCAAGTATAATTTAAATGTTATTGTAGGCAGTATTTCCTCCCCGTGCCGGGTGTTTGTACCCAATGTAAAGATAATGTTAGAAAAACAACGATACATGCAGGGGAGAGGGTCGGGCGCTAATCTGATAGCTGAGTGAAAAGATTTAGTGTTCACCCCACCGGTATTAATCTGCAACAATATTACAGCTACCTACGTAAATACAGAAGCTTTAACTTCAAATAAAAACCAAGTTACTATGCCAAATGAGACTAAATAATAATTAGAATAAGTTATTTGTGGACGAAATTTTCAATACTCGTTTATTCAGATGGCTTTTGGGATAATCCTCTAAGCCAACGTAAAGCAGTGGACATTTACGAGCCGATATTATGAGCACGATGAAAAAGAAAATGGACGATGAAAATACCTAGTGATTTAATGAAAAATAAAGGAATAAAGAATGAGGATTAGCCCAGTATTAAAGTATGGAAATTGTTTATAAAGATTGTGTAAGCAGTAAAGACTATTATTGCTTCTATCCGGATCCGGATAAACGCTGGCTGTATCACAAATACATTTTTTCCAATTGAGTCGGTTGTATTGCACAATATTAGCAATATCGAATGCGCGAGGACTCGATCCCTTGCAATGGAAGGCAAATGCCAGCAAGCGAGCTCACTACGACTATATTGCGATACGATGCGATGATATTGGAATTCCACCGTAAAATAATAACATAACAAGTACAATCGACTGTTTATTTAAAATCGAATGTGAAAACAATGTATTTGTGCAACTTTTTTTTATATTGCGATGTGTAACTTTGTAAGCAACGCCCAATATTTAAATATTCCAAAATATAACTAATTGTTAACCATCTTGATGGGATATGCAGATCCAATAGTCACGAGGGTGCTTATTTTATTTTCAATTTAGGTACGGTAACTGGACTGAAAGTTTCTTATTTTTAAGTCGCATCTAGTTCTATTTTTTTAATTCTCATTTAATGTAAGTTTGAATTAAACGTATAATGGAACTACAACAAAATACTTTAACAACTGAAAGACATTAGGTATTTTTCTGTGAAGATAATAAACAAAACATTTTAAAAATAACATAGTCTTTATTTTGAAGATCAACTTACAATAAAATATAAATACAAAAGAATTATGATGAACATTTTAATCTGAATCATCGTCGATAACTATTCTACGCTTCTTTTTATCCCTCGACGACACAATTATCTCGTCATTATCTTCAGTACTGCTGTTATCTGTAATGGGAGAGAAAATATAAATAAACAGCACTTTCAGAAAACAATCATTAAAAAGTAAGAGATGTTATAAATATTGAGTTTTTTTCTAAAAAGTGAAATAGATATATTTGACTGCCTCGTTAGTCGAGCTGAACAAAATGTTTCACGTTCAATTCTCGAATCTGACAAAGTATTATCGTTTTCTTTCGGATCTTCCCAAATAATTGTAGTAGTACGAAGCCATGGACTGTGTCTGGTATATGGTATTAACCTCTAGCGTTTCGCGTACACACGGGTGTACGGGAGAGTTGAGTGCCAATCGCGCAATTGTACACACGGGTGTACGAGAAACGCGCACCGATTAGATATTTTTTCTGTGACGTATATTTTCAAGTTTGCAACCCGTTCTTTATTTGATTGAACAACCTAGTTAATTCGCGTCTCTATTAAAATATTTACCCGTGTATACGAGAGGCGCGCGAGAGATTAAGTTCACTGTCTATTACTTTATACTTAACTTGCTAAAAGAGAGTTTAGCACCCAAAATGTCCCTCACCATTTCAAGGCTTAAAATTACCAAAACATCGATGATTTGTTAAAATAAGTATAATAACTATAATGGGTGTCAATTTCATTGTTTTAGAACTGTTGGAAATTGAATAAAAGTTGAGGGGACAGCCGTATTAGTAAGGTTTAATGGACGTATCAGTTGTGTAGTCGGTAGTGTGAGGGCGATATAGTCCTTTAAATATTTTACAATGGCCGTGAGAGGCGGACACGTGAAGGATAACAAATGGAAGGATGAAAGTATACACTACCTCTATTACTTTGTATTAAAAACTACTTCATACACTATCTCATTTTGATTCTATTGCCTGAATAGTAAATTTTTAGGGCACCTTATTGCACTTTTCACCAACTTCATTATTTAGTACTATGTAATAGGTACCAAATCTATAGTCTAATAGAAGGCTTCATAACATATTTCAGAGGCATTCCTACAAATGAAAATTTTCAGTACTTTCTACGAAACGGGAAGCGAATACAGAATCTCGTACTTGACAGTTAGGTACTACTACCACTCAATAAATGAGGCAGCCTAAATAATAAGAGGCAATAATAACACAATTTTCTAGACTCTATGAAGAGAACGAGCATTTTCATCGCTTTTATTATTGAGAATGCAATATCGGAAAATATCGCGAGTTTACCGTGAGGTCGTTTGCACTTACCGCTGTCCAATTTAGGAATATTGCTTATAATATCCTCGCTGTCCGGCAGTTCCTCGTGTTGTAGAGTTCGTTTAGCGAACGACAGTATATCGTCATCGTCGTCATTATTCGCTACACTTTCGTCTGCTTCATCAATTATCTGCATTTTCCCTCGACTGTTATCGGCGTCGTCGTCAGACTCGCTGCGGGTGCGTTTCCGATTACGTGTTATCTCATTGGATTTCGTACCGACACTTTTATTGGGAACCATTTCATTATTATCTCGCATCTTTCTCAAATTATCGAACAAGTCGTCGTCATCACTCGATTCTTCTTTTTCTGCTATGTCTACGGCGGGCGTCACCTCGGCCGCTTCACTAGTGTCGATTAAAAGTTCTTTGTGAATAGCTTTTATAATTATCTCGCGTCGTTTCCTGATTGTCTCAAAGTGCAAGGTGCTCGGTATTCTCCAGTATTTTTCCTGTAACAACGCGACGCGACGGTTTGTTTAATTTATTAACGACGAGAGATTTACAAACGAGGCTAACACTAGTATGATAACAATTAAATTTATTCTTAATGCTTAAATTATGTAATATAATATACATTATCTTTCATTTCTACGCGGACGACATACCTGTTCATCAAAAGGTGGCACCACCCCAACCCCAAGCAATACTTTCTTGAACAGTTTACTCTCCATGGCGTCGACTGACTCTTGAGACAGTGGTAGTAGTGGCACGCCCTCACTCTCCGGATCGTAGCCCTCGGCCTCTTGGTCCAAAGCAACTTCTTCTAAATTCTCCGCCAGCCATTTCAAAGCTTCAGTTAAATCTGTTATAACCATTTTCATTAAAAGATACACCAATACCGTTTTATTAAACTACGTTATTAGTTCGACTTCATATACGAACGGAGGAAATAACGCGGGATGTAGAATTATTAGAAACCCGAGAACTAATAAACCGATTTTGCTCGGACAAATTAAAAAGTACAAAAATGCAATGTGCAACACTTTCAAACTTGAATTTTTCAACTTTTTTACTTTCTCGTTTACACGTGTATTAAATTAAGAGTGCAATTAAAATTTGATTTATTTTTCATGAGCTTTTACTGTTTTCCTTTTCTTTGCTCATATTACTTGGAGTTCCGTGTTTTATTAAAAGCTAGTTACGTCGTTGTGAAAATTTTACACTATATTCAATGCAAAAATGAATAGTATTAGCTATCTAGCATTGAAAACAAGGTCTATCGATGGTCAGGACTAGTGCCTTGAGTAAAACTGCGACCCTGACCTATGTCTATATAAGTACATTATACCAAGGCTGAAAGTAGATACAAACATTACAGTATTTATTCAACCTAGATTAAATACCAAGGCACAGCAACTTGACATTTATGTCTAAGTGATTGCTTGCTGTTTACTGTAGCATTTTTATAAAAAGCTGTACGAAACCCACTCCTAATGTGGGTATATTTAGTCTAAATCATATTGACTTGATATATATGTAATACACCACAAAGTACCAGGAAAGATATACCCTTGTAAGACCTTATATAATGTACCTACGTTTAATGCAAATAAATTATTCTATTCTACCTATTCCATAAACAAATTCGTGATGTGGTGATTCGAAGACACGTACTGTAACAGATTGCTTTTTTACTAATTTTCTAGATTTTTTACTGAAACTACAACTGTTGTATTTACAATAAGTCCCACCTAACACATAATAAACAAATTCTTATTCTGAAAAGACAAGACAGGATTAATATTTTGAATGTAAATGTTATTAGAGTTACTTACCGCTGTCGACGGCTTGTACCATGAGCTTAGCGATCTCATTAGCAGTCAGCTCGATTCGTTTCTGTTGCTTCTCTCGCTTTTTATTGGGTTTTGGAACGTTCTTGTTTTTACTTGGTTTATTTTTAATGGGCTGTGGCGGTGCATCGCTATCGGAGCCCGAGTTATCATCTGATTCCGAGTCTGATGATTCGCCTAAAATTTTGTCAAGATGTTTTAGTTTAAAATCTGATGTCTAGTTTTTATCATTTGAAAGCAAGTTAAGCGATGTAATAAATAAGTATGGTGATACTGAGAAAAGCTTTACTAGTCGCCGCAACCGCGCACCCTACTCATGAAGAAGAGTCCCTCTGTGACTCGAAACTAGTAGAGCTTTACTGAGTAGGTATATATACGTCAGTAAACCGTTATCTTTAGTTAACTCGGTAGGTCTCGCGATAGTTTTTTAAAAAAAAGTATGAACATAAATTCAAAACGTTTTTTTTTAAGAATAGAAAGATTTACCATTATTTCCAGACACTTGTTGTAATTTCGATATTGTTACTGAAAAATATTGGACCAAGGAACGCGCCACTGACATAATAATCTCCTTTACTACATAAAACTAATAACGTAAATGGTTTAAAGTAGTTATGCCTTGGAGAAAACACAAAAGTGATGAGATGTGATTAGCTTAACGTGTGTCTTGCGAAGTGTTTTTATCATACTCTAACATGTACATAAAAGATGTAAATTGTACGCCCACTTGGAAAACTTTAAGGAAAATGGGTTAAGATAACCCACGCATTAATAATCAAGCACGCGTGTATATATTAGGGCCAGCTATATTACTTAGTAACAAGCAATTTCATCTCTAAATTCATTAGCTTTAAAGGCGAATATCGTGCTAATGACCAACTTTAGTGCGAATACCGAACTTTATAGTATATCCCCTTTTCGTCCGTTATGTTGATAGTTGTATGACTTTCATAGGATGTTGATGATACGTTGATGCCATTACAAAGCATGCTATTTTATTGAGAAAATGAAAATACTGAACAAATTTGCTTGACTCGAGAATCGAACTCGATACGTCATGTTCAATAGTTACACTTACATTAGAACAAAGATAAAATAGGAATCAAAAACGAGTTAAAACCGAAGTCTTTATTTACGTTCATCCCTTTCAGCTATTTCAGGAGCATGAGTAAAAAATTGAATCCTTCTAATGACATGGGGACCGTGTGGGGTGAGGCGAGGCGAGCGTCGCGCTAAGAATAAAGCTAAGCGAACTTGTTTAGCAACTTACTGTTCGATTTATCGTCATCTCCGCCACTGCTTTTACCATCAGATTTCTTTTGTCTCTTTTTGCGACATTCTTTTTTGTCTTGAATCATACCTAACTCCAGTAATCTGTCGACGAAGCTACGCTTTTGACGCTTGCGAGGCATACGCGGCATTATTACGCCCATTGGATCTGAAAGAACTCCGCCTTTTATAACTACTGCCGTATAAATGGAAAATCTTTGGAGCGAAAAATAATTAGAAAAAAGTTGTCAGAAAAGGAGTATGAATAAAACTCATTTTATGATTATATGTGGGTACCACTTACCGGGTGCATCTTTGAATTGTTCCCACAGCTCGGTGAGCATTTGGTCTTCCTCCTCGGTGAACGTCTTAGGTACTTTCTCCCTGCCCGGCTCTTTATGACTGCGCTTGGTCGGTGCTCGGAATATCAGTCCTAATTCCTTCAACTTCTTTATCACGCCACGTCTAGTCCGCGTCTGATCAATCAAGTTCTCCAAAATCCAATCGATTACATCTAGGGTAAAGAAAACGTAAATATTCCAACATTTATTGTACAACGTTGTATCTTCCGCGGGTTGAATCCTTACGGAGTCGTTTGTGGTACTAATGCATATGTTAAACGAGCTACCGCAAATATACAGTTTATGCACACATTAGTCGGACTTCTAACGCGAGCCTTTGAGGGATCCACGAGTGTGGTAACAACTAACTAACATGTTTTATGAAAGTGTTTCATTAACACTACTGACTCATTATTGCGGTGGAAATTGTGTTATACTTTTTATAAAGTTGTAAGTTTGCGGAGCGTTGTTAGTTAAAGTGTGTAGTGAGGACAACAAACATAACTTTGTCGGGACGGGTTGTTTCGCTCGCACGTATAATTACGGTACTAGCTAATTATGCTGAACCTTTATTCTAATTATCACGCTTTCAAAAATCCCAGACTGCGGCAAATTTTAACAAGTTGTTTGTTGTTACAGGCCGAGTTACACGCAAATATATTTTTGGAAGTTTCTATTTACTTTCCTGAACGAATACGGGTGTAACTAGAATTTAATTTAGATGGGGCGGTGTTCTGAATCATGGTTAACGTTTATTTGTGTGTAAATATTTATACCCGACTACCTATACTTCTGTACTTACTAATCTGTTTAAATAAATATACTTTGCTATCTATTTTGTATGTGTATGTGTGACTCACACATAAGTGGTCTCACACAGTATGAAAGATCATTCACTTGGAACGATTTGGATGCATTTATGATCATTAAAACGATAGAAAACTATGGTCAGTTGCTAATGATATTAAAATGTTATTAGTTCATTTAACTTTCTCACTCACCCTGATCAGTTTCTGGATTGCTTTGGTTCTCCATGTATAACCTGCGGAGTTCCTCCTCTTGCTCCTCGGACCAAACTCCTTTACCGGGTTTGTCTCTGTTTGGAATCATAAGAAAATTATCACCAGTTTTTTAATTGGACCAAGTATTGAAAGAGGTGTCCTGTTAAACGATAGAATATTAATTGCATCGCCACCTTTTCCGTACCTTTTCCTTGATATTATGTGAAATAAATATAGGCAGATACATTTGCAGATCAAAATGTGAAAAAAGAACAACAAAATATCTAAAATGTAACAGAGTAGTGTCAGCCAGTATTTCAGTCGGCGGCTGGTGCTAACTCAGAATACATTAAACAAAGTTACAGGTGTACTTGCATATTCTAACATCTCTGTACATATCTCCCACAAAAAATGTTGCCACCGAATAAAATTTTTAGAATTAGGTCAAACAAATTGTATTTCAACCAAAAAGTTTGTTCACACTGAATTCCAAACACAATTATAAAACAAAAGGTTTGTTGTGAACATGCAATACAAATTATAAATTACATAACATGTGTCTGTATTTCTGTATTTAGGGGTAACCAGAGTTGTATATTACATTATAGTTGTTATGGGCACATTTAAGCAATAATTTTGCTGAAGCACGGGACCCCATGCTGTGCAGTGGGCTTTCAACCGCTAAGTCAATGGGACCGTAATATTTATGTACCTATTACTGTCCTATAAAAGCCATTATTACAAACTAACTCAATAACCCATAGAAAAGCTATTTATTTGTATAAAATATCTGAAAAGATTGCGTAAACTTTTGTGTATCAGAAACCTTTTGTTCGTATATGAAGTGTAACCAACAAAATGTTTAATAAAGCCAGCATCGTGTTTTCAATTAACCCCGTTTATACTGTATAATACTGCGTAGGTAGTATAATTGTTCTAAAAGCGGATTTGACCTCTTTGATAATCAATCATAGTTTAGAGACGCGACCTATATCAACATTATCTTGTCCAATTAACGCCCTCAAACGTTTAGAAACTGTGGACAAAGATTGATGATAGCGAATGTGAAAATGCTGTAACAAGAGGTTATTCACCTTACGCAGCGAAATGTCCGTATGAGATGGGTCAATATCGTGATTAATTGGGTCAATTACATTTGCTACAATTACTTGGCTCATTCAGAGACATTTAAACTTATTTTTAAATTATGTATCAAAATTATAATACTTCTAAAAAAAATTCAGTTATAAACTTACCTGTTATCAGTGTATAAATCATATCCATATTCAATATCCAGAGAATCTTTCGAATTTTTCCAGAACAAAAGCTCTATAAACACTTTAGGATTCTTCGAAGCAACTTCTGTGAACTTCCTCAATATGTATATAGCGAACTTTTCCAATTCCTGTAAAGAGAAACAGCAGTATTTCTACAGATGTTCTAAATTAAACAAGTAAGAGTTTACAAATAAAAAAATCCAATTTATTAAATAGCTACACCCAGAAAGATTGCATTTAATTTCGAAAGTATAAATCATATTATTCCTCGAGTGCGAGTAAAGTAATAAATAGCAAGATACCATTCCATTTTATTTTACGTGCAGTACTTAAAATTCCCCGCCATTTTTATTTACATTTCAATTTAGGGATGGCGGTAACATTGCGACAAACATTTTATTACTCAGTTGCTGATAGGAATCAAATTTTGCGCCAGGTTAATTTAGATTCTCGATACATTTGGTAGGTACGCGACACCCCTGTGCGTCGATAAAATCTGTCCCCTGCCCCTCCACACGTCGTATGCACGACAGAGAAAAAAGCTTAAATTTGGTCACACGTGTGTCGTAATATGGGAAAAATATCAGGCTATAAAAACCAGCTGAAATTACCAGAGGGAGCGTTGCATTATTTTTACATAATACTTTATCCTAGTAGTGTATCTAGTTCGTATGTCACTAGTTTAGATTCAATCTTGGAAGTGGAGTAAATATTAAAATGCCTTTCTATGCGTAAGCGTATGCGCTCGTCCAATAGTCATTTACACACATAGTCAAGCAAATATGGACTTTACTGCACTAACAATACTGTCTATAAACAAAGCTTGATGTATTCGTCTCAAAAATAGAATGACAAGTTGATGTCTCATCGATCTTAGCATAAGCCGCCTCTCTTTGAAGGCCTTAATCACCTACGTAGGCGTTATTTGTTTCCTCTGTTATATTAACTTAGTTGTGTACTACTGTTATATTGAACGTGGGACGATAATATTGTTTTATCGTTTCGCTTATTATACAAACTCCTTGTAACACAAATAGACATTTTGATTGAGATGCTCATTTTTATTTGAGGAATAGAGGAAAAATACGTAATAAGATTAGACAAAAAAGAAAACAGGAGTTAAAAAAGAATGGTCGACAAAAGGATACAGGATATGTATTGTGCATTAAAGCTTGTGTGTACGAGAGAGATAGAAAGATTCTCCCGCCAATACTCCACTTTGCTTTAAACCTTTAAAATATTAACGACAGCCTCATTTTACTACCAATTTCGAAGCGGTTTTAATGAAATTGTTACTTTTTAATGATCTTTGTTTATGGGTGTAAAATAATGCGTAAAAACTAATTATGGTATTTACATAATCATAAACATCATGACCCTACTTCTTTAGGACCCCGTGGTCATACGATCAGTCTGCAAACATGATGTCTACATAGAAACACCAGAACAAACATAAGGATTGACCTGGTCGCCATCAAACATTTAGTTGCGCAACCAAGTAGCCACCAGGTGATTTTCTCCTGGTGATATACAACAGTTGTATGGCATTCTGTTAATTGGTTGGCGCGACACTCGTAAGACCCTACGGTCCTACATGGACACCATTGTCCTAATAAAATAGGGATCTGTTTTCTTTATACTTTACGCCTTGTCATAGTGACAGGGTAATGGTTGATAAATAAAATTGTTATAGGTATTTATAGGAATGACGCAACGAATGTTAACTTGGACTTCTGCCAACTAACATATTACCAACAGGGGTAGCGGATAGACAGTCATATTTTTTTCTTATTTACTAAAGTCGTTATACCTACTATAAATCATTGATAGATATTATTGTTCCTGAATAACTTTTAAATAATAAAATTTTCATAAGTCGACTTATTCATAGTAACTAATTTATAGCCCATAAACGGAACGTACCTATGAGACTTTCGAGAATATATTAACCAACTACCTATTATTGTGAATATGTATAAGACTGACGAAGCACTTTCATATTAGACTGCAAAACTACTGCACCAGTTTTAACAAGTTTGTTCCTGAGATGGATACGTGATCATTAACTTTTTACGATCGAAGTTACATATAAAGACGAAAATATTTTTATATTTCCCCCTGAAAAAAACTGGCAAAAAGCAAACAAAGTACTTAAAAAAAGAAAACATGGCACTAAAGTCTTACCTTGAACTGGGGTACTCGATTGTCGAGTATCTTCTGAAATATGAGGAAGAGGGATGCCTGGAACATCATGCTAGGCCGCTTACAGTCCCAGGCGATTCTATGCAACATCTTAGCTATGCAGTGGTTCGTGTGTGGCAGGTTTTTGTCATAGTTCTCCAAGAGAGTCACACACGCACTCACCACTCGCGGGTGACAGAATCTGAATAAAATATATTAAGAAATTATTTCATTTTTTTTTTGTAATAGAAATGAGAGATATTTAATACAGTGCATTCGTTTTCGTCATTTATTATGATTACTTTATGGGATAAGCCGGTAAACGAGCAGACGGATCACCTGGTGGTAAGCAACCAGCATCGCCCCTGGGCGCCCGGAACGTACGCACTTATAGTGCGTTACCGGCTTTTAGGGGATTACGAATTTGAGGATTATTGAGAATTCAGGGATTGGGCAGGAGAGGGATAATCAGGCCTCCAGTAACCTCATTCACACGAGCAAATACAACGCAAGCATTGTTTCACGTCGGTAATCTGTCAGGCCGTGGTATCACTCCGGTCGAGCCGGCCCATCCGTACCGAAGCATGGCTCTCACACTTAAATTTAAAATAGTCTTAATCTTCCCTAAAACCAAAGTGCGACTCTTCGATTCTTGTCACAAAGTATTTTTAGTTACAACGAGTAATTTTTCCACACTTCATAACACTAATATAAAAATTGTTATCTTACATAGGCAATGGTTGCACAGTATATGAAGAATTAAAATGCTAGTTAATAAGTGAAGTACTTAACATTATAATGGATGTTATTTTCTACAAAAAAAGAAAAAGCACCCTTAAGCCACATACAATAAGGCGCTAGTTTCCGTTATAAATGTGAAATCTTATTTCATGGAATCGGTCTACAGTAATGCCACAGATGCGACGCTCGTCTAGCTTTCTAAGAAGGTATTACTTGCTTTTCTTTATACCGCATCATACGTGGCTTACAGAATAGTTTCTATATTATTTCTAGAAAAGTAAAAGGATTTCGCGCTGTTATTTCTTCGAAGAATGTAATGGAAAGCTTTGCTCACCTGTTCACAAAGTCTTTGAAGTCAAAGTCGGTTTCAACGACAGCTGTAGTCCTTTCTTCTTCATCTTCTTCGTCTAAAAAGAGTAAAAAAGTGTGATAGTGTGACTGGACGTGTAAAAAGAATTTAATCAATAATCAAATTTTGTGTCGTTCTTGATTGTGTTCGTTCTTGTTCGACACATAGGAGAATACAAAATGTATCAAAATTGTATATAAAAATAAACAAAACTGTTATATGGTTCCTACCTTCTTCATCATACTCCGAATTTTGAGTTTCATTTAAATCATCGGCATTCTCTGTAAAAAAAAACAAGATTAAATGAAAGAAAAAAAAAGCGAAAAGAAATATTTGTTTTAAGTAGATGTTGAAGTATAATTAAAAGAGACGCTTTGAGTATTGTTAAGTGAAGCTCAAGTTACTATGGCGGTTACTTTTTGACGTGTATTTAAGTTGAGTAGGTACTTTCCTCGAATTAGCGTCCATGATATTTCAAGTTAAAAGTTTTTATGAGGCAAAGTAATCTTGACAGGGCCGCGAAGACGGTAAATACACTTGATTAGTTTTGTTTAGTTTCGTTTCTAGACTAAACACCATTTAGTCTAGTCTGAGACATTTAGAACCAATAGTTTACGTAGCTGTGATTAGTTAGTCTAAATAATTAATTCCTTGCTGTTTATATTATTTAGTCCTACCTACTTCATTTAGGTATGTTTTTATAATAACTATCGTGAGACATACTAAATTTACTAAAACCAGTGAGCTGCGTGACGTCGCCGCGACCGCACACGCTGCTCATGAGGAAAAACCCCTCTGTGGTTCGAAACTAGTAGAGCTTTTCTCAGAATATTCACGTGAGTAACCCGCGATTTTAGTTAATTCATTTAGGTATTCAGAAATGAGTTAGTATTTAAACTTTGGTAATACTTAAAAAATACTGTAGATATTGGAATATCTAGGAGTATCTAGGTACAAGTACCTATAAAAAAAGCAGACATAGTCTCTTGAAACAACGACTGTGGCACCTGGCTACTATAAACTTACACACACTTTGACACGAAGGACATCTGTCGCGTGCCATGGCCCTTCATTACACTTCATACATTGTTGACATTTGGTGCTTCAATCATTTCTAAGTGACATTACGTCCGCCTTTTTTTAACGACCTTGCCTATGTTAAGCATATTGAAAATGACGTAAATACGCTATTGAATTGATTTGGTTAAAGACATGTACCCATTATAATACTAAAAAAAATCAATAATATTTCACAAATCAGATGACACGTCGATAAATTTAGACAATAATAAATATGTTACGTAAACGTGTATGCACAATTAGTTTACGTTATGCAATGCTTGCGTTGTTGAACAAACAAATTTGACTGCACGGTTGGCGAAGTGGCTGGGCAATTGGCTGTTGCGCTTGCGCAACGTGTCGCAGGTTCGATTCCCGCACGGAACAATTCCTTGTGTGATCCACAGATTGTTGTTCCGGGTCTGGGTGTCATGTGTATGTGAATTTGTATGTTTGTAAATGCAGGATGCACGATACAGGAGGAAATCCTAGTGTGGTGCAATGTTAAAAAAGTCCTCATACTCCTAATCCCCAAAATGTCGGTAAAGCACTTGTAACGCCTTTGGTTTTCCAGGTGTCCATGGGTGACGCCAATTGCTTGCCATTAGGTGATCCGTCTACTTGTTTACCGGATTATGTCATAAAAAATAAATAGGACAAAAATAATAATATTCCCACTTACCAGTCGTCTCTACTTCTAGTTCAGCGTTGTAAACAGTTTCAAGCATCGTCAGCTCTTCATCTTCCGTTATTCCAGCTGTACCGAATATACCTTCGTCAGGCCATACTTCCCTGGTACATAAATATTTTATTTACAATAATATAGTTGCAGTTGCAAACCACACACAAAATATTGTATAAGCAAATAGCCTTTATATTTATGTTTATAAATTCAACCGGTATTTAATTACATGTAACGTAAATATACCATTAAAATCAAATTTTCTTTCTGAATATTTTTGAATGTTATTTTATTATGCAGTGTCTTCAACGTGCTTATGTCACGAAACTTCTCTGAAGGGTTAAGTCATTTGATTATTCGTGTACTGTGGATCTTAAATACAATCACTGCCGGATCAGTTAGTTGTTTGTATAAAACATTGTGAAATGTTGAAAAAAATTACGGTACAAACCTCGCAGCTCTGAACATGCCAACCGCTTCTTCAAACTTGTAATCCTTCATCAATTTCTGTATGTTTTTCATGCAATGCTCTCTAAAACAAACATTAATATGTAATAATACTATCAACCCAAATAATATTTTCATCAAACAAATATTCGCCATGAATGTGCCAGTCGATTCATCAAGATCAATCTAAAATGAATCAGAATAAAAATAGCAACCGAATTCAATTTGCGCAATACATATATTCAAAAATGTTTTTGGGAATCAACATTTCGACGAGCATAACAATTGTAGGAAGAATAGAAGCAATAAAAATAAAAGTGACATACTTTTGTTGGTCGATGGGCACGTCGGACGCGGCGTCGAAGGGCGGCGGATGTTCCTCGACGCCCGAACTGAGGACCGCGGCAAGCTGCGCCCTCACCTCCTCCCAAACCGCCGGGGACGCAACCTTAGGCTTTTGTACAACCGCCTTTTGTTCTGAACCACAATATTAATTAGCTCTCCGTCCTTTTATCACATCTGACCGTAAATTACTTTTAAAAGTAGTTATACGATTTAAGCTTTGTACGGAAATAAATGAGGGTCATTTGTGTTTGTTTTTTTGGGGTTGTTAACAGATAAGTAAAGGGATCTTATGGCTGTTTATCTCTTGTACATACCCTGTGTAAATGGGGTTGTCGTGTCAAAGACCGTTTTCAAATTCATCGTTTTATGTTTCTAGACTTGAGCCTACAGCGTATTTACTTAAATCTGTTTTTAATGAGCTTCATTTAGTACTAAATATTTAAGTGTTTTGAAGAGACAGGTACTCTGCTCAACGTGAATAAATTACTTTAAGCTTTTATCGTTAATATTGAGAGTGTAACGATTTGATTCTCTAGTTTAGGTGAGCCATTTGTATAGTCAACTTACGACAAGAAAAAGAATAAGTACCTTCTTGAAGAAATCTACATGAAAGTAGACTTTAATCCTAAAAAACATAGAGATTTAACGGTGTTAGTTAATAACTACTGCCTCGTTGGCCGAGTGGTCGCAAGTTCGACTACCGGGCAAGGGGTCCCGGGTTCTAATCCCGGGTCGGGCAAAGTATTACTGGGTTTCTAAAAAAATCTCAGTAGTAGCTCTGAAATTGTGGCCGGTATATGGCAATAGGCTCACCCCCTATTATATGAGTCTCATAACATAAATAGTGAAAAGTGGGTGTTACATTGTACAGTGGCATAATGCGCACATCTGCCTACCCCTTCGGGGGTAAAAGGCGTGATGTTATGTTATGTTAGTTAATAACTAACATGGTTTTTTGACGAAATCTACGGTTTGTTAACCGTATTGCCAAAATTTCGTTTTATTTGATTTCATTTCTTTTAGTTAATTTAAGCATTAGGTATATTGGCTATTTACCTACGGTATGTGTGTATGTATGTAGATATTAATAAATCAGTGTAATATTAGACTCAACCGATTACGATGCTAAGTACTTGTACGTAGATTATTATTATGCACTGAGCCAGCAGTTGTGCTCATCATAATATACGGCACCACCTATCGTTGTTACCGGTGCATTACACACATTAGAAATTTATCACTTAATGGCTTGGATATTTTGAAATTTATATCAAGCGCTTAATGGGATGAAGTGACTTATCAGTAGTAGGTATCTACATTTAGTTCATATATCATTGAGTAGTAAGTCAATAAAACGTTATATGCCTAGACAGATATTACGACATAACTGAAAACATTGCACAGTAGAAGAGAGCGATCAAAATGTCCTGAATAGAAAGTACAGAAAAAGTCATCATATTGTTAGCTATGGTTTGCTTAGTTAAGCCTGTTCGAAGGTGCTAGACTAATAGTTATAAAAAGTGGAACTAATATTAATAAGGCCCAGTGTGTCTTGAAACTAGACGAGTACCCTCAAAAAATTTACGTGAGTAACCCGTTCATATTATTAAATTAATATAAAATTTACAAAGAAAAGAAGCAATATATCAAAGAAAACTTACTCTTTGGTTTCGATTTGGCCTTTTTTCTCACTTTCTTTTGAACAACTAAGCCAGTTTTCTTGCAGTAATGTTCTAACATTTTTAGGAACAAGTGCACTGTTTCTATTAAATCCACTAAGTAAGACCTTAAAAACAAAGTAAAACATTTAATTCACATTTAGAAACCATTAAATAACTAAAACAATAATAACATTAATACTATTTATAATAACGAACCTCGGCATTTTATTTTCGTCGTAATTCAAAACCGTTGCTATGATAAATTCTCTATATTCCAAGACATAAAAAATGTTGCTTTTTAAAACTTTTGCGGATTCTTTGACGGTGGGATCAGTACTTTTGTCCATGGCCAGTAGAGTATTTAACAACTCCTTGTAAGCTCTTAGAGCTAAGTGTAGCCTTCTCACCCAGGCCGTAAACTTTTTCTTTTCAACTTTTATCATGTCATAGTACTTCTCCATTTGCTGCTGTACGTAGTGGAACATTGGTACTGACATTGTTTCACTGGAATAGTTGAATTGTTAATATATCTGTTGTTTTAAAATATAAACATGTACATGTATATAAAATGCATACTTTGAAAATGTAAATTTGGATAAATCCACACTATACAGTTTTTTTAAATTCACAATGACAATAATATGATTTTTACTTTTTTTTTATTACCACATTAACACAGCTATATCTTTCTGTGTATTGTAAATATAATAATCTTACCTTACTAATCCAACCTGGAAGTTATGTCCTCTGTTAAATTCCATGAAGAACTTCACGGCCCACAAGTAATATGACTCATCATTTTGTTGGGCTTTAGCTCTCACCAATACATCTTTTACATAATGCATCAACGGATTGTAGGAACTGTTTAAGAATTCTATGCAAAACTCTTTTAGGAATAACCTGATCAAAGAATGTAGAACTTTAGTTAATAAATGTTGGCAGGACAATGTTGCAATAAGTAACTTAATTATGTCTAATGAGAGTTTCATAAAGGATAGAAAATGAAGGCAAAGCTTAATAATCATAATAAAAAGAATTTAAGTTTATGAAAAACTCTACCTAATTTTTTTTATTTTTCACTTACCTAATTGCAAATGCGGATCTCCTTTCTAAGATACCACTTTCAACAGGCCTTCTATTTTTAGGTTTAACAAATTTAGATTTTTTACTCCCAGCATTAAAATCTAAATTAGATATTTTGTTCAATGGTTTCAAGCAGATGATTTCGTTGTCTGATAATGATTTCATGTTTTGTACTACATAAGTGCCTCCAAAGCGGGAATGCCTAATAAAAAAGTTATGTATTAAATAGTTAATCGTCATTTTATTATATATCCATCTTTTCTAGTTGTTTATATTTATTACCTTGTACCAGAATATTGCTTAATTTTGTTAATCCTTTGTTTACTTTCCGACATTCTAATTGAAAGTAGTTCTTGGTCATCTCGGAGTTTCTCATCAACACTCCGCTGCAGAGCAGCGTCAGCCAGGCTACTCGGGTTTTGTTCTCTTAACAACTGAGATATGATCTCTAGGATGTGCATAAAATACTGCTTTTCGTTTTCCGATGACATGTACAGAATTATGTCTAGGATACCTGACTGATTTAGTCCCCATAAAACCTAAAATTAAAAAGATTGTAGCTTTATCTATTTAATAAATGAATTGATACTAGTTGTGCTACATACTAGCTTGTGTTACATATCATAGGGTGAACTTTACTACAAAGCAATATACAAAATTAATTTTAAAGTATTTTTATCTAACTCTGTGGGTGGAAGGATCATTTAAACATACTAGTGATTATTTATATTTTAACAGAAAAAACTAGTAATTTTAATAATTAATAGTCATTATAAACAGTAAGTACTAAGATCCTGACCTGGTCATGAACACTGGCATCATTCTCCGGTCTCCTCTCTTTATCTAAGTCAGCGGGAACATGTAGTACATTTCTAATTAGGATCAAAATCCTCTCAATTATAAGTCCTGTGTCTTCATCTCTTTCTGTCCAATCCTAACACACAGAAAATAAACAAATTTACCTTATATTTAAATCTGAATTCTTTTGCATTCTTATTAAAACATGTAATGACTAATATACTGGATTGCAAAGAATATTACTTACAATTTCTAAAACTTTAGCTAGTTTCTTAGCAAAAATGTTCCATGTTTCAACTTTGGTGAATGCTTCCTCTTTGTAAGCTTGTAAATGTGATAAGATCTGTAGATAATTATGTCTTGCTGTCCTTTCTACAGGCACTTCTTCTCGGTACAACAGTAATGCTGGGTTTGTAAGGTTAACTAGAAGTCTACAACAGGAAATGCTAGTTACTTAACAATTAATATTGTTTTAAAATATATACATCATATTGTACACGATATATTATTACCCTTAAGGTTATTGGAGTTAGAAAATGGAGCCACAAAGAGACTCAAGGTTTTTAAACCGTGAATTAGGGATTTAATTACGACAATAGGTGCTATTATAAGTGTATAATAATATTACCTGAGTGTAACATCAAATAGTTCTGTATTCTCCCAGTGGTCAATCAACATGGGAATAAGATCTGTTTGCAGCACCTTTGTTTGACCAAAATGCCGACGAATTTCATGATCCTCGCCATCACGGCGTAAATAACGAATTAAATCTTTCACAGTATTAAGGGTAAAATCGTCAATTAAGTATTTGCCGGTTTTTTTATCGAACGTTCCTAAAGCATTGCAAGTTGCCGATAATTCAGCTGATAATAGCGAAGTCATTGGTAAAAACTATACACAACACATAGAAAACACTAGACAATTAACTTTTCTATTTAGATTTCATTCAATAATCATTCTTTACTTTATTTTATTAATATTTTAGTCACTTTTTACAACATTTAGCAGACAATACAACTTTGTTTTGACATTGACGTTTGCACTACGTCAAAAAGCCCGCGAAGTTCTGATGTTTCGTTCGGAAATGTTGTCAAAATTATAGAAAAAATATTTTTTAGAACAATGATCCGTTTAAGGAGTGCTTTGAGTTCATATAATTTCAAAGTGTATTTTTCAATTTGCAGAAATTTTATTTGCTCTCAGATGTTTTCAATATTTTCGACTATATTACCACTCACATAACATTACATAACATCACGCCTTTTTATAGTACACGCACATTATGGTACTTAACTCGTCGAGTACCGTCATTATAGACACAATTATAGAACAATAGGTTGCGGTCACCAGTGACCGCTTGGTGTTTGACAGTTTAATGCAATGTAACACCCACATTTCACTATTTATGTTATGAGTCCCATGCAATAGGGGGTGAGCCTATTGTCTGTAATGTGCCCACATTACAGACTCCGTGTTACTACTGACATTTTCTTTAAAACCCAATAATACTTTGCCCGACCTGGGAATCGAACTACCTATTGCCCGGCACTCGCACTTGCGACCACTCGGCCAACGAGGCAGTCCATTTAAACAAGTTGAATTTATACGATACGATTGACGGAGAAGTACCTATGTAAGACGCCGCAATGATAACACCAACAGCTAAGTACTTACCTGCTTTGTTTTTATTTTAAAAATACGACCATTGAATTATTGATTACCTTAATTGTACATTACTTCGTTTCTGTTTTAATAAAAACCAAGCCGTCACAGTCTACTGCTGGACAATAGGCCTCCTCTACTTACATGCGGGTTGGGTTACCGCAGCAAAGTAATTTAGGAATTAAGTGGTATGATGCACAACTTAGACCTTATCATCATCATTGCTGCGTAGCTCAAACATAATCTAAGATATTTTTATAAAACTCAGATAAACTTAAAAGGATCTTGCGGTTCCCACTGAAAACGTTTTAACAGTTTAATTATTTTAAGTACCAAAGTTCCAATAAGTACTACCTAAACCTAAATGTTTGACAAGTAGTTCGGTAGACAGGTCCTAGTTCGTCTTCTTGAAGACACACACTAACGATTCATTTACTTAATGGCTCCTACAGACAATAGCGGTTAACGTGGGCACGCTGATAGATTACTAACTACTTTGAAATGTGGTTTTGTGAACCGTCAGTGCAGGTACATGCCTAGAGGTGCTTAGGAGCGAAATGATGAAATGTATAGCGGCTTAACCTGTGGTTTACGTGTGTAGTGGGCAGATATCGATATCATAGGTACACTACTCGTATTCAATCACTAAATAATTCTAGTATAGATATCGTTTGTTTAAGATCAGTCAACAATGTGATCCAGATTAGCTTACAATTACGTATCTAACGCCCGAATACTGGAAGGCTACTCAATTTTAAGTTGTAGGTACTTATGTATATATCGTGCCACCTCTGTCATTTTACAAAGAATTTGTTGTGACAGAACTATTACTTTTTTTTTAAGGCGCGAAAATCATCGAATGACTGCTCCCGCCTGGGTGAGGCGGGAGGGAGTGTCAGACTCTTACTGACTAAAAACCACCCCGTTCCTTCTCCTGCACGTCGAACCGGAGCCTCGGTAAAATTGAATGGTGTTTGAGTAGGTATGCATTACCTAGGTATAATGCTAGTGGTACAGATGATTAATGGATCAAACGACCTATGTTACCTATGTCAGTTTGTTTTTAAAAATCCAGGGAGCTGTTGAGTCCAATTGACTCTCTTAATATTTAAGTATTTGAATCTAGTTGACTTAGCACCTAATGCTGTCCCAAACGTTGTAGGTTTTAAGTTTGCACAATAAGCGTAGAAAACCTTCACCCTAAAGATGTGTAAAATTATCTGTGTAAGTTATACATGTAGATTAGGTATCTACTAGTAGACCACAAAACGAGAAAATTCTTAAGAGTTCAAACAGATCTGTTCGAGGCTACTCAGGCTACTGACGAGCGGTTAACCACGATACCATCATAATCTCAGTTTGTAAAGCATCTGTCTACACAAAGCTAGGCAGGTCAATAACTGGGGAACATTATAAAATTCAATCGTTAACAAAGGCAATGGTATTCACTTATTTCTTAGTACAGGTATTAATAACACTATCATTCTACTCATGAATAGTACGAACAGTGTGTAAATTTTCAATGTTTTATTGATCTTATGTGTGAATATTTTAAGTAGATACCTATTTTGTTTATGATTCAAATAGATTTCTATATATCAACAAATAAGTGCATACCCATGTATAAAATAAAAAACGCTGTCAAACCCAAAATGTATCTAACTGACATGCGGTTTATCTATGAAAGTGGTTCCTGCTCGAAACAAATTAGTATCCATGTACCGACACAGGTACAAATATCTGTAAAGTTTGGAGTAGGGGACAACTCAGCAGGGGCCCGGACGGCTCTCAGCGCGTGCCGATTAGATCATATTGATCTACTTCCGCATTCATTTTGGCATGACCCACCCTCTTTTCAATAATAAAAGTAACGGCTCGTATTTTCAATATCTACCTACGCATTTTCTATTGAATATCTATCCCTATAAAAATAAAATGTTTGCCTTTGTTGTTAAAAACATTAATTTCTCTTTATCCAAGGGCACTAGGCCCTCGTTCCTTTTTACATAACCAAAGTAATCCAGTCCGAAATATTTTGTTTGAAAAGTTTGTTGATTCTTGTGACTCTTAGTTTATTTCAAGAGGGGAAGATGAGATGAATAAGTGTGCGATTAAGGAACAAAAGAATTACGCAGGAGGTCAAAGGGTTGGAGTTTTGGACGTTGGTATTTCATTTATATGTAGGTTGTTATAAAGGGTAACTTTCAATGACTTCCCAAAAAGTTGCTTACTTTGTCGCGAAACTCGTCTACGGTTTCAGGGGGAATGTAATTAGTACCTATTTGTTTATAACTCGGATAAATTTTGATTTCGTATGGATATGAATAAAGGTTAGGTAATTTTGATTAGTAGGTACCTACGTGGCAAATTACAAATACTTAGGCACTTATTTGCCTACTGTAGTTTGTGTAACTAGCAGACTGTTAGCTTTTATTACCCGAAGCGTACAGTTTGAAATATTGTTGAGGTGGAACAAAGCTCAGGGAATATATTTCCACTACCTACTCGTAGATACATGAAGCCACTAATTAAACAGTTCCTTTACCGATACATTTGTTAAAGTCGTATTCGTGTACCGGTAACCTGCTACATATGAGAGGCACGGTACCCATATCTTAATTAATACTTGATACCCCCTTGTCATAAATTGCTTTGTAAGTAGTAATTGTATATTTTATAAGTATAAATAGAGGTTACTAGGAAACAATCTTATAAAAGCTGAGAGAAAACTTAAATTCGTGTATCTAATGATGAATATTGAAGCATTGGAGTGAGAGGATTTTTAGGAGCTGTCGGGGCGGTGTGTAAGTGAGCAGGTACTTGAAAAAAATACGTGAACTAAGTTTAAATTTTAGCTCAGCGCAGCAACAATCAAGTATTAGGTACCTGCTTGCTTATAACAAAAGTTTCTTGAATAAAAATGCAACCAGCTCGTAACAGCTACTGTGCCTAGAAGAAAAGATAGGCGGATTTCATTTTATAGCATTCCCTAGATTAATAACGTCAGACTGTAAAATAAAAATGGGATCCCTGAAATGAATTTGTTTCTTTTAAAACCATTCTCGTAAACTAGCACTTAAGCAAAGCCTTTTATTTGTAAGTGCGATATTTATATCTTATTTCGGTTTAAGAGTAGCGTTGGTACCTAATGCTCTCGGATTAGCTTCCTGGCAAGGCTGGGATGCAAAAACGTAAGTGAGACCAACTAGCTAGATAGACTTTACGGAAGAGCTTTTTGTCATCCTAGGTTTAAGCAGCCGAGAGTAAATACATAATGAGCAGTGAGCATGCTGTCGGCTTAAATACACTAGCTAGTATTTTCTTCAGTAAATAAAGCTCATAGATTTGTTTAAGTAACCCAAAAATAATGATTATATGTTAAGTGTAGGAGAGCCATGCTTCGGCACGAATGGGCTGGCTCGACCGAAATGATACCACGGCCTTACAGAAAACCGACGTGAAGTAACGCTTGCGTTGTGTTTCGTCGTGTGAGTGAGGTTACCGGAGGCCCAATTACCCTCCCCTTCCCCAATCTCCGCAATTCCCGAATCCCCAACGATCCTCAAACTCCTAATCCCCAAAAGGCCGGTAACGCACTTGTAACGCCTCTGGTGTTCCAGGTGTCTATGGGCGACGCCGATTGCTTACCATCAGGTGATCCGTCTGCCCGTTTACCGGCTTATGCCATAAAAAAATATAATTACAGAATTTTCTTTATCCTGGCCTTTTCCCTATTAGATTTAGATTAGATTGAACGTAATATTACATGTAATGTCTAAAACGAGCCCCGAAATACGTTCGCCATATGTTTTGGAAAATGTTCACAATAACAAACCGGACAAATTCCGGTAAATCGCTGTGATCAACCAGTAGGTAATTAAAAGGCATGCGCTCCATTATTTAGCATAACCCAATAAACCAATCTATTAACGTACATAAGCTAATGTGCACGCACTAAATACGGGGCGTAGTAAATCTTGTATTTTGCGTTGTAGCCATTGCTAGCGGGACGAGATAATCCGTAGTATTGGTGTCGTGCCAGAACGCAGCCCGAGCATTGTTGCCGTGCTGGCTCCCGGCCAGGGATAATGGGCTTTACACCAAATGGATTTGCCTACCGAGGTCAACGTAAAACCTGGAAGGTACAGATTAACGGCAAATAAAGCCTTTAAACCACTTTTATAATGCAATCGATACTCACGTAACAGTGTTTTGGACGCTTTTATGATCAAATATTTGGGATTATTTTGTGTTTCAAATAATATGAAACAATCCTGTGTGTGTGCGTTGATAGGATCGCTAGAGTTATGTACATGATCGGAAATTAAGTATAACACTATCATATGTACATTAATAAACGTTATTTAG